ATTATTATAAGTATATATATATATATATATATATATATATATATGTATATATTTGTTGTAAGATAAGACTCGGAGGAGAAAGCTTCTTCTTTCTCCCTTTTCTTTTCTTCTTTTCATTTTAACTTAAGTGTTCATTCCTTACCATTTTTCACATAGATCACTAAAAGGGGATAAGGAAGTTCAAGCTCCAGGGTTGGGGGACTTCAAGTGTGGGATTGTCTTCTCCTCCTATTTTTCTACTTCAGAGTTCTTCGTTCTTCTATTCTTCTTCTATCTTGAAGTAGCTTGAAAATTCTCTGTTCTCTTCTTCTTCTTCCTCAAAGAGCTAAAAATCAAGGTAAGGGAAGTTAGAATCTTAGTTTTTGTTGAAATGTTGGGTTGTTAAATGAATTAAGAACTTAAGATTGATAAAATCTCTGAAAATCTAAGCTGGGGGAAAGGAATTTGAAGTTGTTTGCATATGGAAACTGAAATCTTAATGTTCTTGATGATATCTCTTGAAATTTTGATGCATGCATGTTGAATTTTTGTGTGGTTTCCAAGTTGCATGAACGAATTTAGTAAAGATAATGAATATAGATCATGTTTGGGGGTAAAATTGATGGAATATAAGTGAGGAACGAAGGTGGAAAGCCATGAAAGTGCATAAAATGTTGCACTCAGTGCTGGAGCGTTGAACTAGCATTGTAGCTGTGAGAGAAAATAGGGAAGCAAAGATCCAACACTACAGATCTGAGTTGAGCGCTGCAACCCTAAGAAGAAATGAAGTTGGCAGAAATTCAATGTTGGAGCACTGAATTGAGCGCTGCAACGTTAGGGGTATATGACTAAATTTGATCTTGGGATACTCATGAAAGTTGTAGCCTTGGATATTAGCTTTTCAATGACGTTGGAATCACCTAAAAATGAGGTTAGAACTCCAGCTATGACCTTTTTAGTGAACAAGGGTTAGCTATAAAAATTTAGGCAAAACTGTTGTGGCTTTTACAATTTTTAACATGGTAGATGAGGAAATTAGAACCTGATTTCTTCATGAAAGTTGTAGAAAATCTTCTTGTCTTTCATATAAGATAAGGATGAGCATGATAGAAATAATAGAAGTCTTATGCACTATTTTATGTGAAGGTTGTCATTTCACAATAAGTGATTTGGTTAAGTTGAAAGTTATTTTAGTTGTTTAAGTTGATTTATGTTGTTGTTTTCTTCAAATGTGAGTGTTTGAAAGATATATGTTGTTTATGTTGTACAAGTTGACATGATATGAAGTTGAAAGTTGAATTGAGTAATATGTTATGAATTTGTATAACTATGTTAGGATTCTATATGAACAATGTTGACATGTTGTTGAGATGCATGTTAATCATAGTGTTGTAAATAAATTGTGATGATGGTGATGGGTTGAAAAGTTATGTGTTGATTGAGTTGTTGTATTGAAAAAATATAATGAGTTGTTGTGTTGTTGAGATGTGTTAACCACTTAGAACTAGTTTAGATATTTTTAAAAGTTACATATCTTATTGTATATATTTGTGTTGTGGTACTCTAAGAGCTTAATTTATTGAAAAATCTTTCTTGAAAAGTCGATCCTTAAAGTGAATATTATGTTATTTTTTCTTTAAAACGGTTGATGAATCGTAATTTTTTTATCAAATTTTTTAATAACGTAAAAAACACTTTAAATATATAAGTATAATTAAAAGATGACAGTCATTTTCATGGTGTTTAACATAATTTTTTTTATCATGATCAAATAATCTATTTTGGAATTATTTTCCATCAATATAAAAGTCATTTTAAGCTTGCATGTTAGACAAAATTTGTGGAGCTTTTGCGAAAATTTCCAACAGTGCAGAAAAAAAAAACTCTTCAAACGGATAAATGTAGCTCAATATGCAAGGTTGTAATTTTACGATGTTCAATAAAAAAAAACACTCTTTGTTCAAATTTTTCTCTTTTTTAGTTCATTTGTGCTTATAAGTTGTTTATTTGAAGAAAAAAAAATGCTCATACATCTTAATGTTATTTTATCTCATCTTATTATTTTTACTCTTTTCCTTTTTGTTATTTCATCATTTTCATTTTGTGTCGTATTTTAAAATTTTATTATATTTATATATATATATATATATATAATAATAATAAAATACAATAAAAAGCATGAAGTTGGCGTTCTGGAACGGGCCATTCTGGATTCAGAACGGCCCGTTCTTCTGCACTCATGTTGTGTTAAATTTGTATTTGGAACGGTCCGTTCCAGTTGCAAGATTAACACATAGCATGTGCAATCAGAACAGGTCGTTCTGGTTTCAGAACGAGCCGTTTTGGTTCCAGGTGTATTCACGAAGTTTGGCATCCACCTATGCATCTATGTGACATCCATGTGACATCCATGTGGTCAACAGATAACTCCGTTTAAATCATTTGGACGGAAGTCTCAAATTACAATAATTTAAATTATTAGGGACCAAATTAAAACAAAAATAAAGTGAAATTAAATTGAAACAAAAAAATATTATAAGAGACCAAATCAGAGTTTTAACCTATTTTATTTTATTTACGGAGGAGGAGGAGGAAAAGCTATACAAATAATTATTAAGAAAAAGTAAACGTCAAAACTATAGATTAATAGAAACGCATCCTTTTGTATCTACATATATAAATATAATGCTTTATGTTTCTACAAATAGCATTTCCAATTCTTATATTGCAGCACAGCAGTGAGTGAACGCACCGTCACCACACCACACCTTTTTTATTTATTATTATTATCTCTTATACTTTATTTTTAATTGCGTAGACGAATAGGTGTTGACAAGTTAAATTTGAATAAAAAATTGATTTTTTAAAGCACAAGAATGATATTTGATATCATTAAATAAATTTTTCATGTATACCTTTTTAAAATATAAGTACATATCAACAATATTTTATTTATCAAAAATTTGTTGTCTATATTCGTTGGTATATTATCTATTATTAAAACTTAACATATATATAGAGAGAAAAAGGTAAAGTCTTGAAAAGTGAAAGGGAAAAAGAGAAGAGGAATCCACTTATTTTAAGAGTAAGTTTGTGTAGATTTATTTTACTTAATAACTCATGTTTTACATTAAATTTTAACAATGTAATAGTTAAATTAAATTTTTTAATGATAAATTAAGTTTATAATTTTTTAAAAAATTTAAGCATGTACAATACTTCGTTGTATTGATTTTAATCAATGTATAGAATATTTTTGTGATTATTTATCAATTTTAATTAACGAAATAGAGTGTGAAATAATTTTAATTTTCTTTAAAATTTGCAAACTTAATCTATCTAGACTCACCACACTCAATAATTCATGTTCTATATCAAAATTTTATAATTTAATTGTTGAATTAAAAATTTGTAATACATAGATCAAGTTTACAATGTTTTAAAAAAATTTAAAATATACAATACTTTGTTTCATTAATTTAAATCAACATATGAAATATTTTTATGATTAATCATCAATTTGCTCTTGAAATTTGACATATATATATATATACACACACACACATGTGAAGGAGAGATTCATTTACTCCAAAAACAAGTATACTTAAACTTATTTCACTCATTAATTTATATTTTATTTCACAAATTTTAATGATCTAACTATTTGATTGCAAGTTCTTAATGTGTAGATAAAATTTGTAAAATTTTAAAAAATTTCAAAAATCACATGATTGTTCAATTTATAAATTCAAACTGACAAATAATTATAAAAACATTTATATATTGATTTGAATACATATAACAAAGTATCGAATGATTTTTTTTTTTTTTTTAAATTTACAGACTTACTATTTATTAATAACTCTTAATTCAATGGATAGATAATTATAATTTGATGTATAACATGAGTTGTCAAGAAGAGTAATAGATTTACTTTTAGAATAAATAAATCCCTCCTTATATTCTATACTAAATTTTTACGATTCCATTGTTGAACTAAAAGTTATTAACGCATAAAATAAGTCCACAATTTAAAAAAAATAGTTATTTCATATACGGTTACACTAATTCAATTTGATAGATAATTATAAAAATATTTTATATATTAATTTAAATTAATGAAATATAGTATGAAATGATTTTCAAATTTTTAAAAATTATTTATACATAGACTTACTTTTAAAATAAGTAAAGAATCACTTTTTTTAAGTAGTTTTTTTTATTATTTACACTAAAGATATTTTTCAACAATACCACGAGACTAATTTTTTAAGGTATAAAAGTTACTGGAGTGAAGTTTTGACTTTTTCATCTCTAAGTGCACTACTAAAAAATCAATTTCATTTCAATATGTTCAAATAATTAAATTATCTAGTAACTTTTAGTATGTCCAAAATTTCAACAATCTCAACTTATTGAATTGTTAAATTTTCAATTTTGCATATACCTTGTCAGCATGTTTCTCTTAATTGAATAAATCAATTTGATATCTTATAAAATTTTAAAACTGAATACATATTAACCAAAATATTACTCAATTCGGACCATAAGTTTTTATATGTTAAAATTTTTTGCGCGCTCAACAATTTTTTTACACATGTTAAGTTTAAAATACTTTCATTTAATACTTTTAAAAAAGAACATTTATAGAGTAGGAATAACAATGGTTAAATAGGAATATGTGAAGAAAAAAAAAAGAATTAATATTTCTTTAAATATGTCAAACATAAAAAGAAATTAAACAAAAAAAATAAACCTAAAACATGAAAAGTTATGGATCGGAAAGAGTGTCTATCTATAAA